GCTACAGAGCATGACCTTGACTGGCGTCTGGCAAAGCCTTATCTCTCTTTCCTTTCTGACTCCTGCTAACGCCTGTGGGCGGATCTAAGTCGTCCGATCTCTGACTAACACGGACGTCTTAGAGAGACACAGAGGACTTCCTTCCTGGATGCCGAAACGGGAAGATGGGCTGATTCTCTCTCCGGAGGACAGCCGGGGCCTCAGATTTCACCCATCCAGCCAAATAGGGGAAATCTGACGACCGGACAGAAGCAAGCCGCTTCCTGTCCACCTGGAGACATAAGTCTCACAAAAGTGTTTTCAACTCCCGAGGGGAGACTTTTATTTTGAAGGACGACCGGAACCACAGCTGGAATCTTTCTAGCCGGGCTGAAACAGACGAAAAGTCACCTTAAAACACCTTTTCGCCAAGGACCAGCTTGGACAAGCTTCCTGGAGGGTCGTTGGTGAGACAGTTCACGCCAGGGGTGCTCGAGCAGCCATCACCAAGTAATGCTGACGTGTTCGTGGGTGACGTGTCAAGTTGAAGCTGAGAGCAGAGGGGACGTGCTGGCCCGGTTGTCACAGATTTTCCAAAATAAAAGCAGAAACACTAATCCTTAATTTTCATCATCTTTTCTTACCCTATCCTTTGCCAACCCTAAGTGAAAGTGCCAGTAAATTGTTTAGTTTTAACATCAGAACTGACGTTTACTGTCTATATAAGTAATCTGAGTTAATGTGAAAGAAAAGTCGAACGCGGGTTTTTTATCTCATTTTAACTTTGACGCTGTTATAGGAAATCCACAATCAGGTGTAAACTTATTATTTGTTCAATTTGTGTAAATAAATGATTGCATAATCTTTTATGAATCAACTTGAACTCGTCTGAGGTTCCCTCATTGTGTCACTCTTCACTTTGTACAGACAAATATTGAAGTAGTGAGGAAAAACCTTGGTAAAATTTCCTCTCATAACTTTGTTATGGGAAGATGTAAGGGAGCCTTATTTTAAATAAGTCACTCACTCTTACACAGGTGTATTGCAACAGGTGTAGTGCGTCCTAATTTTTCTAACATTAAAAATTTTATATGACAATACAGTCATTTTGGCCTTTAAAATAATGTTTTTGAGGGTATCAACTCCCAATAAATGTCATTTTGGGAAGTCTAGCCACTCATTTTTACTCAGTACGTTTACTTTTAATACTTAAGTACATTTTTTGTCAGAAATTTACTTTTGATTCTTAAGTACAAAATATATTAAATACTTTAAGACTTTTACTCAAGTAATATTCTTAGAGGAGACTT